CGATGCAATCCAAAGCTGGCTCAAGTAGTGGAACGACGACAGAGTAGGTGTAATCCTCTTCCTCCATCTTCACAAAGCTGAGGGTTTTACTAGTTTCGCCAATGCTACGATCGGTGTCTTCCGGGACGTCGTAGCTGGCATCCATAGAATATGTTCTAACTTATCATGCACCGGTATTCCTAAGACTGGCGAAGAGTGCGTTGAACAGGATATTGGCGAAGTTGTGATCCGGTATGTTCAGTACCTGTTTACTACTAGGCCCAGGAAATGTTCTAACTTATACCCAGTATGACTGGCGAAAAGTTCATCACACAGGATAGCGGAGTTATCATCCTGTACGTTTACCACCAGGCCCCCAAAACTGAAACTAATTCTACCACAAGCGTGCTAGGAGACACTGGCGTTGGAAAAAGCACAGTGCGTCTCTCACTTTCTGACATCGTAACATGAGATTTAGCTCTATTCTCAGTTCATAAACGCCGTTGCTGGACGACCTATCGCCGAGGTCAGCCACAGGCTAATTTCGTCCGAGCCAGTCGCAAAGCACTTCATTATCCAGCACCATCAACGCTCCACGCGCTCCTTTATCCTCCTTGAAGCACCTGGGTTTGACCATTATTCCGAGTCTGACGAAGAAATCTTAAAACGAATCATCGACTGGTTGAAAGCGTCGTGCGTATATCCTTAGAAAAGCGCCCTTAAACTGCCTCACCCCAGCACAGGTGCCACGAAGACGCTTCATTTGGGGGAATTGTCTACCTGCACGACATCACTAAACCCCGGAAACCGTCGACGGTGCACGAAATACCCGTTCTGCTGGGACTGTCTCGACCTGAGCTAGCTGGTCATGTATTGGTGACGACTGTAAAATGGGGCAGAGCCCGGCAAGATCCTTCAGGGGCCGGACGTCGCGAGCAGGAATTGAAAGCCAATACTTGGAAGGTGATGTTGGGAGCAGGCGCTCAGACCCAGCGCTTCCTGAATACGAAAGATTCAGCCTGGGGTATCATCGATGCCTTACTTCAGTTAGAACCACTGAAATTGCGCGTACTTCAGCAAGGCTTGGATGAGGTTCATCGCTCCTTCACAGAAGAAAGGCTCAGGCTCGAAAGGAAGTTTAAACCTCTATTTCAGAACTTTCGGGACTCGTAACTGTGCTCATCATTAGAACGAGCATCTTCTGGGCCGCTATACGCAACCTCACTCTCCTCCTTCTCTTTCGATAACCACCATATCTCTCACTGCTGTCATACTACTGTACCCGATATCACCAGTACCACGTTCTCCATCCCTGTACATGTATCTACCTCATAAAACACGGGTTTCTCTCCCGAAGTCTAATCACCGCAAAGCACAAACCCAATAAATAACTCCAACAGCAACCCCGCATACACCCCACCCAACTCAAAAAAGATCCTCCAAGAAGGGTATCAAAAAAATATAGTATATACCACGCATTAATACAAACGAAAGCAGGGTCATTATATGTCATCACGAAGCAGCCCATTCAAAAAGCAGGATTATAGGTAAGGGTAGGGAACTAATAAAACCAGGACAGCAAGCGAGGAAGTGTAGTATAGTCTACAGCAGAAATTATGGCGCATATATGGGCAGGGGAGGGAAGGGCGCCCGAGCCAGACGAATATGAAACCCCAAGCGGGTGTATACTGGAGAGAGGAACAGAAATAATGAACGGCGATGAGGGCTGCTGACATGGGCAGAAAGTCCCGCACCCATTCAAAAGACAGAGCCGCACTCTCGACAACCAAAGGGATCCACACCTATCTCACCGGCTCAACCGCCGCCCCACCCTCCCCCGCCCCCGCCCCCGTTGAAGCCCTCCCCACCCCCGCCTTCTTCAACCACCCCTTCACCGTCCCCGCCCTCCCCTTCCCTCTCCCCTCCCCCTCTCCCTCTCCCGCCCCCACCCCCGTCCCCCTCCGCCGCATCCCCATCTCATCCACCCCCTCACTCTCCTCCCCCTCCCCTCCACGACTACTGTTGTTGTTGACATGATTGCTAATACCAATCCCCACGCCCATCCCGACGCCCATCCCCAGCCCGAGCCCCATGATCCCAAGCCCGGCGCTGATACCCGCGCTCCCTGCTCTCTTCGGGGGCGGTTTTGGTTTGGGCTTGGGCGTGGATGAGGAGGAGGACGATTTGGGTCTCGGTGTTGCGGAGGAAGAGGAGGTGGGTGGAGAGGACGCGGAGAACGTCCCTGGTGACGAGGGCGGGGGCGGGGGTGGAGGAGAGCGACCCGGCGTGGGGCCCGGAGTAGAAGGCGCAGCGGAAGACACGGAGGCGGTCAAAGGCGGCGACGCGGTGGCACCAAACGACCTCGGCGACGTATTGATATACGACACCCCCGGCGAGCTCCCCGCGCTCTTAACCGCACCCCTCGGCTCCGGCGGTACATACACCGTAAACGGGCTCTCCCTCGCCTCATGCGTCGTCCTCACAGGGTTAAACAGCGCCTCAATCAGCGTCTCCGTCGTCTTCGGGCCATACGCCAGCGGAAGCCGTGACGGGTCAAACGACTGCGTCGGGGCCCGCTCCCTTCCTCTCCTTGGAGGCGCAGAAGGGGTGGTCAGATCTTTCTCTGGCTTTTCCTCGTTCTCGTCCCCCTTGGATCTCCCCTTCTTCGATTTGGTTTTTGGTATTGCACGCCCGCCGAGGAGATCGAACTCCAGTTCCTCCTGGTCGTAGTACGGCCCGTAGAGGTCGAGGCCCTTGGGGCGCACGCGGTAGACGTCGTGTTCGCCGATGATGCCGAGGGAGGAGGGGGAGGAGAGGATGTTGGAGATGCCGGTGAGGATCTCGCCTTTGGGGAGGGGAGGGGGTGTGAATGTGTTTGTGGAGGTGGATGTGGTGGTGGCGCCGGCGGAGGGGGAGGTAGAGGTGGGGGCGCATGCGGAGGAGGGGAGGTGCGTTAGGTGCGTTGTTAGCTGAGGATAAGATATAATGTTATGTGAGGGGAGATAAGGAAGGAGGGAGATGAGGAGGAACGGACCTTGAGCGTTGCGTTCGTCTTGCTTTCACGTAGGAGATACCTTCTGCTCACCTCGCCCTTGCACGCGTACTGCGCCAGATCGAGGTTCACCACCCCCAGGCGCGTCGGGCGCGCATCGGGGTTCGCAGAGTCGCGTTGCACGATGGTGAGGTTGGCCGGACACGTCATGAGCGTGGACTGGGGGTCGCGGTCGACGTCCATGCGCACGAGCAACGAGAGGGTGTGTTCCCAGGTCACGTTGTGCTCCTTCAGCTTGACGAAGGGGGTTTCGCCGCGTGCGGGGGTGGTTGCGTTGAGGGAGGCCTCTAGCGCTGAGGTGGCGAGGACGGAGTCGGGGAGGGAGGGGGCGGTGGAGGCGGTTGTTGAGGAGAGGAAGGAGGGGGAGGAGGCGGTGGAGTCGACTGCTGTTCGTGAGGTGCTTGGGCGCGAGGATGAGGAGGAGGAGGAGGAGGAAGATGAGCCGGCTGACCAGACGGATGCGGAGCGCCCGTCGATCGAGGTCGTGCGCTGTGAGGCGGTTTCGACGCTACCTAGACTGCCTGTTTCGTCTGCCTCATCCCCGCCTGCCCTGCCCTTGCCCTTTGCGCTCTTCTCATCCTGCCGTGCCTTCCGCCGTGCCTTTAGATTACCGATAATACCAGTAGCCTTTTTCGCGCCAGGTGCACTGTGTACGTTCTTGAATTTCCATTTCACGGCGAACTCGCCGCTGACGAGGGGTATGTTCGTAATTTGGTGGATGATGATGAAGACGTGGAAGAAGGCGTGTCTGGGCAGGAGATGGTTCAGCTGAGCGCGTAGACCGCTGCTTGGGTTGTGGGTCGTCGGTGTGTGGGGGGCAGAAGAATCGAGCGAGGAGGCGTCGTCGTCAGAGTCGGCATTAGCGTTGGAGAAGGGATTAGAGAGTATGAAATGGTGGTGCCCGTGAGCAGGCGCTGCCATTCTATTGGGTATTGGGGTCTATTTTGCGCAGAGCAGCCAGTGAAGATGAAGTTCAGAGCAGAGCTGGGTCAAGCATTATTTTGGTTACGCAAGTGATATGTGGCGGTCCGCCAAATGCGCCGTGTTGTCCGGCGTTTGTTAGTCTCGATCGTTTCAAATTAGCCGACCCTGCCATTGTCCCCCTTAACCTGCCAAGCCATCCCCCGGTCAGCAGTCTAATTTGCGCCCACACACCGTACTTGCCACCACGTCCTCTGCTCGCTGTTCTCGACGGTGTCCACTCCCCCAACTTTTGGCTCGCTTTGAATCACCCTGGGTACCCGTCCCCACCACGCGGCAGATCTGCCACGATAAGCCCGTTAAGCTGCCGACAATCTCCACCCTGCATAGCGTCTGTTATCAATGCAGTCGTGGAACTCTCATCACGCCGGACGCATGGACGTCCGATGACACACCCGGAAGTGTCAAATCCCCATAGTCCTATATTTGTTCGTTCACATCGGCCATTGTCTACTTCTTAGCTCACACCATCCCCAGACTTTCACACTCAGGCGCCCGTCCGTTCATGTCCTCATTCGTCTGAGATGCGAGCGCTAACCTCTGGTTCTACTCCTCTCTCCGTCTGAAACGCTTATCAGACGTCGTTCTTCGATGACAATGTGACATGCAAGGGGTTGATCGTTTTCAGTCCTTGTCCAACTCCACTCCACTGATAGCACCATGGCGCGGTCATAACCGTGTAGGGCCCATATTCTCCATACATCCCTCGCAAGCCATCCCGAGGTCACTCGCCTATAGCAAATCGCTGCTACTTCACCGGCGGTGTTAGAATCCCCACCAAAACCACGCCCGCTATTCCCTTGGACCAGACGTCGATGCATCGTGCCTCCTTCATTCAAGCCCCGACTCCACTCTTATAAAGCGCCCACCTCCATCCCCAGTGCGATCGATAACCGCGATCTTCCCCGAGCCCTTGCGAGTCCCTGATGTGCCCCACGAAAAAGACCTCTTTTATTCTCGTGTAACCCCGTTACAGCTCACGATATAAAGCAGCATGGCGCAGCCGGCAGCCGCGGGGTACACATCTCGCCTCGTGGTTGTGACGCATACATCTACACCCGGCGGTCACTCGTTCGACCCGAGTTGCTGCTATGATGGAACATTGTCCTCGTCTAAATTTTGTACGCGCGAACACCTGGAAGACAAGAATTTTGCGCGCGGCCAGTCTTTTGAACAACAGCGGGGTAGGGCGCTGTCAGTGTGATGTACGGCTCACGCTATCCTAGCTCACTTCTCCGGGCAGCATCGCATCCCTCCTCATCTTCGTCAACCACTACCGCCCCCTCCCGCCCCTCTCAACCCCCTACCAACCAAAGCAGCATGGCGCAGCCGGAAGCGCGCGGGGGTCCACATATCGCCTCGTGGCTGACATATTGACAACCGCGATCACTCGTTCGACTCGAGTTGCTGCTATAGGCTACCGACGTGGGGATCAATTTTTACGCACGCGAACACCTGGAGGATGAAGACGATTTGGAGGCTCGCTGTGACTGGTTGGGATGTGCAATGTACATGGGATGTCGCTGCCTCTCCCCCTTTTTATGGGCACTTCTTTAGAGCGGCTGGCTACGATGTCCTCGGCCTAACCCCGTCGTCCTCCTCACCTTCACAGGCCTTCTATCCACAGCGGGCGGTTACTCGTTCGGGTCGAGTCGTTACGCTTATGGTGTCTACAGATCGTTTGTGGTCTTTGGAAGCGGTAAATTGGAGGAAGGGCGGCTCGAGGGGCGTCCATGCGTACTTAGCGGGCATCCTCACCATGAGTAAAGACCGAAGCATCGCGAGCTTGCCACTCGTTTCTATGCGAACCACTTCGACACGCAAGGGTCTGAGGGATGCTCCCACTTTCAACCCCTTCGTCCGTTCTACGGTGCATGCCTTTGTTGGAATTCCCAGTGGGGCGCGTGATGCAGGGTCAGGCAAATTTGGACGACAGAGCTCCCCGGTACAGGTTCATGGGGCGTATTACATGACAAGATAAGATCTACCGTTGACTTCGCGTCTCTTCACCCCAACCAACCACATCCAGCTGCCTGAGTCCCCCCTCTCAAGCTGACGTTAGTCTCGCTTCGGACTTCAGAGGCCTTGGCGACTAGGGTGCCAATCGCCATCGATAAGCGTCATCGCTGCGTGCCTGTTCATCGTCCGCCGTCCGCCATCAGGATATCTCCGGTCCTGCACCATCGTAGCTTCCTCCCGTGTCCCACCGTCTCCATCTGTGTTATGCATAAGCACAGGGCGCAGTTGTAAGCGCGGGGCCCATATTGTATAGCTCTTGTGCCGTGGGGTCACTCAAAGAACACTTGATCGAAACGAGTCGCTGTAATAACAAGCTCCCGAGAGTCATCATGATATCTTTTGGCATTTCGGCCTTCTTCTTGGCCTTCTATAGCTGCGGCTACGAGTACGACCTGTGCTTGAAGTTAACATGGTTCTTTGGTAGATTCTCGCTCCCAACGCATTTGGTTTGTCTTGGACTATGGCGTCGCTGAGCGCCATCTACGATCCTTTACTTTTCTTTTGTGTGTAGCTATCCCTCGCGCACATTTCTAACTTCTTACCATCGGCGCGTCACACGTTGAACGAAGCAACATGGCGCACCTGGCAGCGCGCGATGCCTATGTCCTGAAATTCCGGTGAACAAGTATGTAACACACAGGTCACTCCGTTGACACTAGTTGCTGCTGTCGGGCCCAGGGGCGCGCGGATCTTATTTACGTTGCAACTCTTGAAGAACACAGAATGGAGATGGCGTGCTTGTAGATCGACCTTTGACAGTTGCGCGGGGGGCTGAGGGGAGACAGGTTCCCTCCCGATGTTCAATGAGGATGTTCTGGGGCTACAGCCATGGGGCCTCCCCGATGGAGAAGGGATAATGCGGCTCCCCAGCCTGTGTTCGCTCCCAGCAGGTTGTTCGTGAACAGACCTCAAAGAAATACAATAAAAATGTACGACACATTTCACGGAGGTGTGAATTGTTAGGATGATGGAAAAATATTTCTTGAAGACGATGGGGCGTGTATAATGCTGAACGTAGAGACTATAGTGCGCGTATACTTGGCATGACGCTTTGGAGGCTGGATGATGAGAAAAAATGTATCCGACCTGCCTGGCTCGAACAGGCGACATCAAGATGATTGGATATCCATTACAGTCTTGCGCTCTTCCAGCTGAGCTAAGGTCGGTTACGACATCATACTCATGCTAACGTTTACGACATCCAATCTTGAATATATGGCGTACTCGAAAATCCTAGGCACCTCAGGGAGTGTATTGTTTTCGTCTACAGACCAGGCCTCAACAATTCGGTATACGTAGTGGAAGATTCCCTTGAGGCGGCAATGACGCTAGTCTGGTAAGACACGCTCTTCATAAGGAAAGTAACGACTGACAGAGAACATGACAGCCGGACAAGACTGGGTCACGTCTATACGTCCACAAGGTGTCCCATCCGCAGGCCTTGGCCTGCGCTATTGAAGAGCCCCGAGTTTGTGGCCCAAGTCCAGAGTGGTGAAGGTAGCAAGGGTGGTGAAGACGTGTTGTGCTTGCGACCCTGACGACAAGATGGAATGAGAGACCGCCGAGGGAAGTTGGGAAGGATCGCGAGAAACAACTGCTGGAATATGATCGGGGTAATATGACTACTCTGTGATCCAGAGTTTGTCGATATAAAGACCCATGTGTCCAATGAAGACTTCGGCGAGCAACTTGGTTGCTTAACGTTTTAACACTCGGCGTGAAGCTGTGGCGACCGTGGGCCCTAGTTCGGATCCGGTATTTGGACATGTTTGAATCTCAACCTGATGGGCCGACGGTGCCACTTTCTCGTACCATACCCGACTCCAACAATTCCTTTGTGCTCCTTGGTTTCCGATTCTGCATAACTCTCAGTATCTTTATCGCAACGGGCCGTCGAGTTTCGGAAAATTCTGCTAGGCTTCGCGCGGTGTTACGCTCTTACGGATGGTTCCAAACCACATGATGCCAGACGACTCACAATCCCATCCTCATTAATTTTACGTTTGAATTGCATCATTCGAGCCCTTTTAAGAGAGACCTTCGGTCCCGCATGTCAATACCTCTCACCCACACAATGACACCTGTGCCAGCCAAGTGTCAGTTGCCCTCCGACAGCCGCTGGCTTGCCGTCAAAAAGATCCCGGGCGAGTAGCCGAAGTTTGACCCATCCTTGGCGCAAATGCCTCTTTTCCGGTCGTATGTCGGTACCTGCCACCGGTGAAACGTCATACCTCCTAAGCATCTGGCTACGGAAATATCTCTGTTCGCAAGATATAAGGACAAACCTTGACGTGCCAAGGACCTTAACTTCCACAGGTTTAGCTGTTTCTGCGTGTATTCGATGGTCTTTTTGCCCCTCCTGCTCTTTCTCGCCGCCTTGACAGCGGAAGTACAAGCCCATGGATATGTCCCTCAAATCAAGATCGGAAGCCAGTATATCGCTGGATGGGACGTTACCAAAGGCAAGTGTTCATCAAGGACTTGGCATTCTAGAACGAAAGCTAAGGTTTCTGCAGATCCTTACACCGCTCCACAGGTACGCGTTGCAAGCCCCCAGATCCCCCGCGACTGAAGCCTCACCTCCCGTTACCTGCGTGCTTTCTGCGTGCGTCGAAATAGGCTTGGAGACTCGTCTGATCTTCACTGTCGCTAATCCCGGTGCCGATGATTTGCCTCTTCGCGTTTCATTCTACCGAACATGTATACCACATGGTCTAGATGTGCGGTGAATGCTCGGCCCGCGCCACTCCGTCTCGTCAGTTTCGTTTCTAGGTACAACAATTGTCGAGATATAAATGCTAACTACGTTGCTGCTAGATTTTCAGTTCAGTGCCGGACAGTCATGCTCTTCTCATCTGCGTTGCTCGTCGCAGCTTCTTTGGTGGGTGAGGTGGCGGCTCATGGTTATGTGCCATTCATCAAGATTAATGGACAAACTATCGCGGGATGGGACATCACCAAAGGCAGGTGCCAAAATGCAACGTACAGGACAATAACTAAATGAGCGCGATGGATAGACCCCTACGCCACCCCCCAGGTGAGTAAGATTGTTAATTCATGATCGTTAGTATTCTGATGATACGATACAGCCCTTGAGGGTTGTACGTGGCACCAAACTGGACAGTGGCTTCATCGATAATCCAGCTTCGACCGATATTACCTGTTCAATTGGTAACCAGAAGCTGCCTCCCGTACGCTGTCTCTCAGTATTCCGTTGTGCGACAGGACTTACGAATTCTCAGGGCCCCATCACGGCAACTGTTGCAGCGGGCGGGACTGTCGAAGTCTTATGGAACACTTGGCCAATTGGTCACTATGGCCCCGTCCTTAACTATATGGCAAAGTGTCCTTCTAGTGGTTGCTCCTCTTGGAAGGCAGACACTGGGTCACCTTGGTTCAAGGTAAGCTCTTTTCTCTGATCTCCACCAAGAACGGCTCGCAAATTCAACGATATTAGATCCAGCAAGATGTTTACGCTAACAGCGAGTGGGCGTCAGATACCCTCGCGAAGAATGGCTTCAAGTATACCGTCAAGATTCCAAGTAAGATCGCGGCAGGTGACTACGTGCGTCATGTTTACATCCTCGATTGCGCATTCGGGCACAACTAACCCTACCACCACGTTAGTTGCTTCGTCATGAGAATCTTGCATTGCACGGGGCAAGCAACGTCGGAGGCGCACAGTTCTACCCGGGTGAGTGATTAATTTCTCAATTATGTTTCCGCTAATAAGCTGTCTCGACCGTGATAGTGTGCATCCAACTGAAGGGTAGGAAACATCACAACGAGTTTTCTCTCCAAGAAGCTAAATCCTAACATCCAGTTACCGGTGGTGGAAGCCTCAATCCCTCGGGACTCAGCTTCCCAGGAACGTACAAGGTGAATCTGCTCGATTATATGACTTGTGCCACGATCGGAGTCACTGACAACTTACTTCCAAAGGCGACAGACCCTGGTATTCACTTCAATCCCTATCAGGGTGAGGCCGCAAACAAGGTATGAAAGACCTTCTATATGACGTCGAATGATCCTATCTCGTTTTTCTAGGCATATGTCCCTCCTGGAGGCGCCGTGTACGCGGGACTCAACTGATGTAAGCGTAGTGCTGGGACAAACTACTATCTCTCTTTGTATTTCATATCAGATTCGGAAACTATTTCCAACTTCCGACGGTCCTACGTTGAAGAAGAACAGAGATCAGTTTCAGTGCTGGGAGGCGCCCGACAGATTTCGACTACTCGTAAGTGAGCCGGAGAGCTAAGGCATTCTACTTTGATTCTACCAGTACCTTTCCTCGTGCGATACTAGTAGGCGCCACGAGAATTGATCGTTTCCTATCCCAATAAGTTGAACTTCCTGCACTCTTAGTAGTTATTAGTCTAGCATTTCAACGG